TGCGATTAGCTCATTCCTCTCTGCTAATACTGAGTACACTGCTTCCACTTTAACAGTCCCTTCAGGTAGTGTGTTATCATAATGGGTTGCTTGCCTTACAATGCTTGGAATGGTAACATGCCAATAGCCGAGTGAGTTGCCGTGTTATAATGAAATTGAGCCCAACACAGCAACTGGGACCAGGAATGAGGCTTATCATGACGGAAAATTCTCAAATACTGCTCCACATACCTATTGGTGACCTTGGTTTGTCCATCTATTTGAGGATGGTACGCCAAGCTTGCTTTAAGTGTAGTACTATTATATTTAAACAAGTTAGACCAAAATTGGCTCTAGAAAATTCGATGACGATCTGAAATCAGTGAGCGATGGAATCTATGATTTCTAACCACCAAGTCACAAAAAAGGTTTGCTACTTCCGCTGCTGTAAATGAAGTGGGCAATGCACCAAAGTATGCAAACTTACGCAGTCTATCAACTGCAACTAAGATAGTGGTATATAAACTACTTAGTCTATCAGCCACTATGAAATCTAGTGTCAAATCTTCAAACACGCCCTCTGGTGTTGACAAAGGCTGAAGTAATCCTTGTGGAGCTGATGAACTCGTGCTAACCTGTTGGCATATTTGACAATTGCGCACGTATTCCTTGACATCTCTACCCATGCAGTCCCAATAAAATGAAGCTCCACCCTTAACAGTGAACATAGAACGCCAGCTTGTCCTCTCAACTGTGAATCATGAGCTTCTTTCAGTATTTCAGGTATCAACTTCGACTGGGGCTTAAGAAAAATAGTTGTTTATGGAACAGCATGTTATCTTTCACTGAAATGAAAGGATATGCACAAGGGTCCTCCTTAATTTTCTGATGCAACGAAATCAGATAGCTATCTCCCTTATTCTCCATTTTGACACGATCTAACAAGTCAAAAGTTGACTCCACCACTAAGGCGTGAACTGCAGCATTCTCATCCTTCTCATAACACCGAGATAAACCATCAGCAACAACATATAAACGACCAGGCTTATATTCGTTACCCCATCAACTTGCAATTGCTCCATCATTTGTATTGTCTGCCCCAACAACTCTTTAATACTTGTATGATCAGTTCTTATTCTAAAATGAACTCCCAACAAATATTGTCTCCACCGTTTTACAGCCTCACATATTGCATACATAAGTTGATGCCATTGCTAGTTTCGGACCCAACCTTTTGCTGAAGAATGAAAGTGGACAATCTTGTTGCAACAAAATATATAGCACCAATTGCAGTGTTGGATGCATCATTCTCCGGTACAAATGGAAGGCTGAGATCGGGTAACACAAGGATAGGTAGGTGTTCTTGTGTCATTGCTTGCTTTAAACAATCAAGTTGCATAATGTTTCACAAAACGTCTGTCTATATAATATTAATATCCGGTGAGACCTAAGAAACCCCTTAATTGCTTCACACATTTCAGAATTGGCCAAGACAACATTGCCTTTATTTTCTTTTTATCTCTTCTCTTGACACCTTATGCCCCAAATCTTCTATCTCTTCCGTACTAAAGGCACAGTTGCTCAACTTAACAATGAATTGACCTTTGAAGGAAAGAAAAATTCACACTTCTTTAAAAAGTAGGACAATACGATAGCGAGTTGCTTGACGATTTTTCAAAATTTCTTCCTACCTGAGGAATAATTAGAACGAAGCGGCGAATTTATGCGATGAAAGTGCTCTAAATTGTGTATGCTGCTACTATGGTTTGTTTCTAACAATTTTTACCCGAAAAATAATTAGGGTAAATTTTGTATGCTAGTATCGTTTTGCAACAGTGAAAATAAAAATGAAATTTTGTTCACTATATACTAATGACACTTAACACCATTTAACATAACGGAGTAAGTATAATTATGCAATAAGGGGCACTAGATATAATTATTATAAACTTTAAGCAAATGCTATTTTTCCTAAATATTAATTTAGGGTTTAAATATGTTTTTGCTTTTTAGAAATATATTATTGTTAAGTTTTATTTTTTATTTTTTGTATTCAATCCGGTTAAATTTGGTTCGAGCATTGTTGGACTCATATTAGATGCAGTTCTCCAAACATCACTTGAATAAGCTTCTATCAATTAAAATATAATCTTACTATTTACCAAAGAAAAAACAATACAGTCTTACTTTCTCTCTTCTTCTTTTTTCTCACCCAACATAGGTACTATTATAGTTGTCTATTTTGTTAAGAATCCAAATGTAAATGATGAAATTTCACTTTGATTAAGAATAGATCAAGTGAAATTATAAAAAGAAAGAACTGATGAACTCAATATCATGTGATGGATTACTGCTTAATCCATTATTAATGATGTTTCTAATATGGGCTCCTCCCACAAGCTATAACCTTCCCTATACACCAATATTGTTTGTCTTCTCCAAACTCTACCCTTCCCTCACAATTCAACTGTTGAAGTAAGAAGGAAGAAAATGATGGATGTTATGTTATGAATCGATTTGATTGGTTAAAATTGGGGACAATACATCACAATGTAAGTTGTATTTTATTTGAGTGTTAAAATTGTGTAAGAATGGGATGGAAGAAAACAAATCTCAAACATTTTATTAGCAACCGAACTAGCTTTACAAAAATTTTGTCCACATAACAAGAAAAATAATAATAATAATAATCTAGATCTCTTCATTTTATTTGAAAAAAAACTTACTGAAGAACAAAAGTCGTCCAAAGAGACTCTAATCATGTCCATTCATTATCAAACAAATAACAACATAAAAAATTATCATATTACCTGACAATTTGTATCTTATTATTCCACATCAAACGCAATCATACACTAATACCTACCATTTTGATCATAATTTTGTATGTTCTTTTATTTTGATTTAATTTTTTTTAACATATTAAATAACTAAAATACTTAATTTTTAATTTTATATATAGAGAAAGAGAGGAACTAAAACATATATTTATGGGTTCTATTACTCTCCTTTCACATAAGATAATTATCTTATGTTGTAGAGAGAAAATGAGTAGGTCTCATCATTGCATAAAAAAAGAAGAAAATATTATGAGGTGCGAAAATCGAAGTGAGATACATGAAAAAAGTTATCTTATGTGATAGGAGAGTAATATTTTTCTATATTTATAGGAAAAATATATATTTAGTTCATTTGTTTATATTGCTTGATAAAGGGAATTGTTCCCTTTTTTTTTTTGGTGAACAGGAATTGTTCCCTTTAATTGCTGAGTTTAATCATATTTTTTTATCTATTTCATATTAATATTTTTTATATTTAAAATTTATTAATAAAATAACCACTTTATTTGCGCGATTGACAACTTTTTTTTCCTCTCCTTCCTTCTTTTTTTCCCTTTTTTATTTCAAATAAAAAATATTTTAAATATTTGCTCATTTATTAAAAAGATTTTTTATAATCAACTTAATATTAAATATTTTCAAATGAAAAAAAGAAAAAGAAACAAAAGAAGAGGAAGTACCTTTTTTTTTTTTGAAACTGATCCTAATTACCTCTTTGAGGCGAATCAGAATCCCCCGGGATCCCTACGGGTTCGACTCTTTGAGCCGCCTATGGGACTCATCCAGAGTTCGGGAGCGAGTCCAAGGATTACGGTACTTATACCCCTCCCCAGATGGTATTGGTGGGATTCGAACCGAGGTCCTCTCCCACCACTCAATCAACTAAATTTAACTAGAATTAGATATGTCAAAATAGGTCAGCCCATCCCATTTAGCCTTAGTCCGTGTGGGTTAGGGCCAAAAAGCCCGCAGGGCCAAATAAACCTCAATAATCAAGGTCTGCACTGGCCAAATAAACCTCAATCATTTTAACAGATAATTTTTCTATCATTACTTTTAATTTTCCACTATAATTGTTGTATTCTGTTATCCCGATGAGAAAATCTTTATTTGATGTCATCATTTAATAATGAATTTAGTAAAAGTAGTAACTAAATTTTCACTTATATTAAAATTTTGTTTACATTTTCACTTGTATATTTATGTACAAATCTTATTTTATTAAAAAAATTAAATTATAAAAAATTTATAATTTGTATAAAATATGTTAAGAAAGTGTTAAAAATTTATTTGTTAAAATATTTTTTAATGTATTGAATATGATAAAAAAATTGTGAAATTATAAATTTGGAGGTATAACATGCTTAGATGTCAATAGAAAATTTTATTTTTATTGATGTGCAGATGAAAATCTTTGTTAAAATATATCACTACTGAAAATTCATTTTTGTTGTAAAATATTATGGATGAACTTTCACATGGTTCATAAACATTTGACTCTTTATTTTTCATGACCTTTGATATATTCTATAATCATCACACTAATGGTGTGTTGAATTGTAGAATACATCCAAAGGGGTATTGTAAAATATTATGGATAACATTTCACATGGATTGTGAATGACTTCACATGAATTATGGATGACATTTCACATGAATTATGAATGACCTTTCACATGGTTCATAACATGTGACACTTTATTTTTTCATGACTCTCGTGTTTAAAAATGCATCTAAGATAGGTCTTTATACAGGACTATTTGCTCATACTTATTCTTATTTTATTCTTTCTTTTATTTATTTTTCTACACTTTATTTTTCTTTCTTTCATATTTCACTTTATCTTATATTCTCCATCAAATTCACAATAATTTTTACTTATATTTATAAATATTTAAATTTATATAATTTTTAGTTTTTTAAATAATAAAAATTTTGATAAAAGAAAAAATTTGGCCCACGGGTCAATCCTAACTCAGCCCGCTAAATTATACGACTTTGAGAGTTAGGGCTGTACTACAAAAATATCTTAATGGATTATAGGGCCAAATATAATATCTTGCGGGCTGATCCGCCCGCTTTAACCGATCTTGACACCTCGTACTATAATGCCAACACAACCCATAATCAAAACTTATAAAACGCTACCGTCCGAGGAAATTATAAGAGTCCCAATGAATTAGTACTAGGGACTAGGGTTAAGAAAACACAGAGAGAGGATGGGAGCAAAGGGAAAGAGAAGGAGAGAGAAAAATTACAGGGCTGCTCATGGTGACTACAGTGTTCTCCCTCCCCCACCTGATCCTTCCCAACTCGATGCTTTACCCTCCAAACTCCGCAAAATCATGTCTTTCACTCAACACCATAATGGTTTCTTCTCCTTCCCTTTCTTTCACCTTGTCTGTTCTTGCATCTCTACCTTTACGTTTCTCAATTGTGTCCTTTGTTTTCAGGGGCTTCTGGGTTGTCGCAATGCATGCATAAAAAGAAGAAAAACGATGATGGGCATGCCCAAAATGTAAACTTTAACTGCTTTTTCTATAACTTTTTTATTGTTTATCTGTGGGATTTTATGAATAAGGAAGAAAAAGGGATGATGAACATGCCAAAAATGCCAGCTTTAAGTTTATATGTCTCTCTTTTTATCCTGTTGATTTGTTTAATTTTTTTTTTTAATTCATAACTTTTTTTTATGAATTTGTTTGTTTGTGAAGTTTTATGAATGAGTGACAAAGGTTACATGGATTGATTGAGTTGTGGTTGCTATAAGAATGTGTTTGTTTCTGTTACCTGAAAATGTTGCTTATTGTATTTGAATTGTTGAAGGGGTCTTATAGACATGGTAGTGTGAGCACATAGTGCATTCATTGCCTCCTTTGCTGTAATGATTCCATTATTCTTGAATTGGATGAGCATGGCATATAAAATTTCCTTATGGTTTTTGTTGCGCTTTGCATATTTAGTGTTTACTTGTTTAATCCTTGTGGCTCTAAGTACAACTGGAGGTATATATAATTTTCTCAGCGTATTTGATACAAAAATTTGGTACCAAGATGAGAAAACTACAAACTCTAACAAGAGTATCTGTGATAGTCAAGATTCAAGAATTTATGATTAATAAATAATTATATTATTTCAAATGGTGTATCATTTTCCTTCATTTTTTTTTTCACTTTGGGTACTAATTGAATGATTATTTGTGCAGAACATCCCTTTGAAGGACAAAGGTGATGTTGGAACTGCAGATGTCAAACAGGGGGATACTAGTAGACAATTGAAGGCACCTCAACACACTGATAGTGGTGATGAACAACTTATGCAAAGTAGTGCAAATGATAAGAAAAAGAAAAAAAGAAAGAGAAAAGAGGTTAAAGATCTCAGGTTTGCAATGGAAGTGGATAAAACGAGCTCCCAATTAAAAAGACGGGAGCGTAAGAAAAAGTAAGTAAATTAAAATCTACTTATTTGTCCATTTTATTGAGTTTTGAGATATACACTTTGTGCTTTCTATATGAATTCTATTTACAGATTTATTTTTATTTTTTCCCTATCAGTCGTTAATTGTTTGCGATGCATTTCCTTTACAATCAAATGATGCACATTCAAAAAGATTATAAAATCTCTAGACTGTTCCAACATTTGAAGAATTCCTGACTGTATCCATGTTGAAGCCTCAGTGATCCTTGATTCCTTGTCATATTTTAGAGTTCAAATTAGGCACAGTAGCTTATTTGTTCTGGCGGAACTTGTCTGCAAGACTGAAACAAATAGCCTTTTCTTTGGAGATATTAATTACGGTTAAAGATTATACTGGATTTTATTAAAATGATTTCTTTATATAACGATAGAGTAAAAGTTGTATTAGCTCTCTTTCTTTTTCCATATACTACTAGGATGTATTCTGATAAAAAGTTATTCAAAGTCAGTAAAAGTGGATATTATACCAATATTTGTTATTTGTATTTTATATGAACATACCAATATGCATAAGTGATATAAATATTTTTTGTTATATTTGATGTGCCCTTAATGGCATTTGAAATTGAACTTGTGAAATTTCTCTTCACAAAAAGAATAATACAGCACAAAGCTTTAGCTTATTTGTTGTTATAATTAGGTTGAGAGATGGTCTGCATGCTCTTGACTCAAAACAACCAGTTATACAGCTGTGAGATTGTTAGAGAAGTATACCTAATTATACATGTCTGCAAACAACTCAGCAGTGTGTGATTTTTCAGTAATCAATACAGTTCAGAATCAGCTTTCAGATTCTCTAATTTTCTCTCAGCTCTCCTTTACAGTTTCCCTTCATTTTCTCTCACTTCCTCATCCTATACTGAATTCTTTCAATTGTAATCTCAATCATGATAAATTCTTCAGGTATTTCGAAGCTAAAAAGAAGAAGCATAAAAAGGCACACGAAGAAGAAAAACTGGACTTTCCTGGACATGAAAAAATAAAATTTGGAGATGTAGTACTAGCCCCACCAAAGTTAGCTTTTACTCCAAAGGTAAGTACTTGAAATTCTTATCTTTCCACAATGGATGAGGCTATATTTATTAATGAAATTTTTTTTCTTGTGTAATGAAGGCATTCAAGAATGCTCAAGATGCTTCACAAGAGAGACTTCGACTCCGTGCTATAGAGGAATACCGAAATCGCAAAGGATGGACTTCAAGACCAGGAAGTCACCATCCACCTCCACTCACTACAGACCCTTAAATCATTTACAGCATGTTGTCAAGCATGAGGGATTCTTGTCTAATATAGCTTCAGGTTTTAGTTTTCAGATTATGTATTGCATGAACAAAGGAGAGGAAATCAATATGGCTCTTACATTTTTTCCTTGGAGATGGTTTTTCTTCATTCAGATCCAATGACACACTTGTACATGTGTGGGAATTACAGTATGATCCATGAAAAGCCAATAACTGAGCTGATAGGAATAGGATAGCTAACTTTTGGCTTTCAACTTTGCTCTAACTGGAAAATGTAAACTCATGAAGTCTTAAAATATATGATCTATCAAACTAGCTGCATTGCAACAGAACTTCACTGCCTAAATTCCTAATCAAATGAAACATCAATCAAAATGAAAAGCCCTAGGTGGAATTAACATGTGGAGGTTGAAGTGTTTGAATATCAAAATGAAAAGTCCAAGCTTTTATGGCATTAAGGTCTTCAAATAGACCAAACGTTGATGAAATTATAATATAATGTACAGAATAGATAATTTAGTTATAATTAATAAAATTACATGCTTTATAAATTTTAATTATATAAAAGTAAATAAATAAGCTAAGAGAAGAACTTAGTATTTGACCGCAAAATATCAAAAGGGATTCCATACATGGTGTTGGAAGAAGAAAAGTTATACATGAATGAAAACTCTGATTACTTTAGCACTAGATGAGAAATTAATAAAAATGTCAAGTTTGAAATCAACCCCATCCTTTATTAAGTAATAGTAGTGAGTCTAGTGACACAACTATTAATGCATATCCTTATTGTCATGAGCAGTACTCTTACATATAATTAACCATGCTTGATTGAAATAGCTTGAACTCTAAGAGGTTGGGACCTCTTTAAGGTTAACTTGAATTGCTCCTCCATATTCATGTGTTCTGGCATTAGCCCATCAGCTAGCTTCCATTCAAAGTTGTGCACAAGGGATGCCACCATGAAATGCACTGTCCTGTGAGCTAATGGCAATCCCGGGCATATCCTTTTACCTGTTCCAAAGGGTAAAAGCTCAAAATAATTACCTTTAAAATCAATCTCACACTCCAAAAATCTTTCAGGCATGAACACATTTGGAGTTTCCCATATGGTAGGATCTTGTCCCATGGCCCACACATTTACTAGGACTTGTGCATTTTTAGGTACTTTGAAACCACACATGTCTACAATTTCATCACACTTGTGGGGTACTAACAATGGAGCTGGTGGATGCAAGCGAAGAGTTTCCTTCACCACTGCTTGTAAGTAAGGAAAGTTTAGGATGTGTGATTCTTCAATTGTTACATCTTTTCCAATTACTTGACTTAACTCTTTTCTTGCTTTTGCTAATTTATCTGGGTTCCGCAGTAGCTCTGCCATTGTCCATTCCACTGTGGTTGATGTTGTGTCAATCCCAGCAACAAATAAATCCTAGGAAAACATCAAATCAAAAACCCAATAAACTATACATATAGTATTAGCCAAAGGTGATTAATGATTCAGTGTGTGCTTTTTGTGATTGGATAAAGGTTAACTAAATTTCTAGTGGTGGTATCACTTACTGATTTTTGTGAGTAAACTAAAGTTAAATTGATGAATAAAGTACCATATAATATTGATTAAATTTTTAATTTGATCTTCCAAAAGATACATCGATATTTTAGACATCAATTTGGAATTCAACATTTAAAGCAAGTATCAACTTAGGGACTAAAATTAATGTTCAAACATATATTAAGCAACTAAACTGATGGCTATTTTATACATTCTGATATCAAATTCATAAGATTTGATAACTTAGAACACAAACTTTGAACCAAGCAGCATAGTAATATTAAGTACTTGCTAATTATGAATATGATACCCAAATAACCTAAAATTTTGAATAGCTAGAAAACCAAGTACATTATAGTTTATAAAATTTAACTATTGGAAAACAAGTACTAACCAGAAACAGTTGAAACATCTCATGGCGGCTAAGCTGAGAGCTGGTTTCATCAATATTGTTAAGAAGTGAATCTAACACATCGTTGAACACCTTAGAATCAACTTTTGAAACTCTTGAATGCATTCTTTCTTCAATTATTCCATCAAAAATCTCAAACAACTTCTTAACATAACTAGTCGTCCTGGCATGAGTACGTTGTGGATCAAATGGACGAAGAATGGGAAAGAAGTCTGCAAAATTAGCCCTTCCAGCTTCTTCCGTGGCACCCCAGATAATGTTCTTAAACTCTCGAGACTTAATCAGATGTAAAATGACACAAATCCATAGAGAAGAAAGTGTTTGAAATTGAATTAAGGACTGTTGTAAAGACAACCTCACCAATATCAAGAACTTCACCTTCTTTGCATTTTTCCTTCACATAATCCAACAATTCTTGCACCTTTTGTTGGCGAATGATTTGTGTGGAGTCAAGCATATTAGTGGAGAATACTTTTGTAGCACAAATTCTCCTAAGGTTCCTCCATTGAGCTGATGGAGGCAGCCACACAATTGAGTATTTGTGATGGTCATGTGTTTGAACTGTGTGTGGGATTGTCCTATTAGAAAAGACTTGGCCATTTTGATGCAGAACTTGTTTTGCTACTTGTGGAGATGAGATAACTATGGTGGTTATGTTGCCTAGTTTTAGAGTCATTATAGGACCATAAATTTTGGAGAGTTTGGTGAGTGCCTGATGAGGGTCTTTGCCAAGTTGCAACATGTTTCCTATTATAGGAAATGGATTTGGCCCAGGTGGGAGCTTTATACATTTTGGGGTTTGGTAGAATAATCTAAGAATGAAGATGAGAATGCTTCCACACACAAAGGTAATCAGTAACAGAAGGAGATTTTGGATGTCCATGGTTTATGGTTTTGCCTTTTCCCTTTGGTTATATATATATATATATATATATATATATATATATATATATATATATATATATAGGGGTTTACATCTATCATTTAACATGACAACAAAAAATTTTCTACACACAACATTTTGTGGGACCCGTATGTTTTAAAAAAAAAAACTATAGCACGCAAAACGAATTTCTATAACATAACACAATCATCTTTCCTACAACATAACTCTTATAAAACCCATATATATATTATAGCACGTAAAACGAATTTCTATAACATAACACAATCATCTTTCCTACAACATAACTCTTATAAAACTCATATATATATATATATATATATATATATATATATATATATATATATATATATATACTCAACTTTTTTGAGATGAGAAATAACCGTGTATAAAATTACAATACACAAACTTATCAAGAGAACTTTTTTCATATCTAAATGAGTGGTAGAGAAGTGACTTGAAATTATCTTTTTCGATATCTATTAGAAAGTATCTATCTATCTATTTATATATAAGAAAAAGTGTTTGTCCCTTTAAATGACACAACTTATATCATTTCACTCTCATAAAGAGGTGGGACCTACACATTTATTTATTTATTTTGTCCACTCTCTGTCCCCCTTTATCTATCACTTTCTCTCACTTAAAATGACATAACTTTTCATCCTTTAAAATGACACACATTTTTTCCCTTATATATAATATTAACTCTTTCCATTACTATTGTGACTTGAAATTATTTTAATTTTTGACTTTTTATCTTTTCCAATCTTTTGAAAAAAAAATTAACAAAGCTATCAAAATGAATCAATTTTAATTAACTTAAAGTATACTTTATAAGTTACTAGGATTAGTGAAGGTTTTGAGTAGTATGCATAAGTTACTAGGATTAGTCTAGTTACTAGGCCCGTTTGGTGTAACATATAAGGCATGATAATATACTCTTATACTATATTATGACATTTTCAATTGTTTGGTGTGACCATCGTATAGTATAAGCTTATACAGCATAATCCCTTAATACATCAAAACGATGTATAACTTAATCTGGCCTAAGGGTGAGGAATAAGACCTGATAAGAGATTGATGTATTAACATCGTTGACCAATGTAATTCTCAAAAATTAATATATTATTTTAATATTAATCTATTAAAATAAAAATTAATTTTTCAATATATTAATTTTTAAAATATTGAATATTTTTATTTTTATAAAATTAATTTATATTTTAGACACACTGATCAATAAATTTTTATAAAAATTAATATCATGACATTTTTTGAAGAATTATATAAATTCTTTATTAAAGGATATTTTTATTAAAAATATTTACTTTTATCATATATAGTATTATACAGTGCATTATCAAATACTAGATGATATTATTTTATACAATATATTATTTTATACAATATCGTGCCAAACGCTGGATAGTATTAAAATTCAATCAGGCCTTATACTATCAGGTCTTATACTATCAGACCTTATCTTATACTATGTACTAAACATGCCTTTAATGTCACTATTGTATTTGTGAACACTCTATTTTACGGAACACGTTCTAATTTTAAATTTTTGTCTTTCTTTTTATTTTTGGTGAGGATAAGGGTGAAAACACCCCAACCAAAAGAAAGAAAGAAACTAAAACAAATCAAGAAACTCGGCTCTTCAAAAGAAGCCCACAGTAGCTAGCCATATCAGCTAAAACTAATCTGTAAAGATCAGGAGGAGGTGAATGGATAAAATTGAGAGTCATCTTGCTAGCGATCAAAAGATAAATTAGTCAACCAGTCCGCGCATTGATTTCTATAGAGACTGCGGAATAGACAAAATGGTTACTGGATATGAATACAGCAATTGCTGTTTTGCTTGCTTTCATTGCTGATTTAATTGTGTATAAATACAAAACGTAACTACTAGAAAATAAACGTAACAGCTATAAAATCTGAACAAACTAACAGTAAAAGGATTGGCTAATTACAAATATTAACATAACAACTAATATCAGAGAATCTAAACAGCAAACAAACAATATATATAGTATCTTGTTTGTTACAGTTTCTCTCTCTGTAGACATGATTAAGATGAACTATCCAATCTTTGCGTAACAATGCTCGTATCCGAAACACCAAATGTGATTCACGACCAGCATCACCATCTTTGGTGAGCACCACAATAGCATTACTTGAATCACCTAACCAATGACCAGCATGATTCCGGAATAGTCCTGCACAAGTAGCAACACCTGGGTTCCCTCTTGAACTACCATCTGTATTGATTTTAAGTTTTTATAACCCACTGTTTTCACTTTCCTAAATTCTTTTGAATCCATAGCTCTAAATCATTGTGGAAAAATTCCACTGTTTTCTGCACTGGGACCAGACTAGGCCACATAATTCTGGCTTGTTCACAATCTCTAATCGCATGAATTATTGATTCATTTGCTTGACGACAGATCGGACAAAGAGGGTCGCCTAAATTCCAACTTGCTGTCATCATATTTGTTGGAAGTCGATGATGCAAAATTTTCCACATGAAGATCTTGACTCTTTGTGGACCTTTCCACCTCTTTATTTAATGTGAAAATCAACAGTTTATTAATATCTAGTTTTTAGTCTCTTTAATTATTTTTGGTTTTAAGCGTAAATTAAAAAAATAAAATATAAATAAATGTAAAATACTTGCTTCCCTTTTTTTTGTTTATTTTACATGAAAATTAAAGAAAAAATTAAAATGAAAGGAGAGGAAATACCCTAATTTGACCGGATTTATTTTCATTTTATTATTTTCAATAAAAATAAAAGTATACATATGAATTTTTTTTATTTTTTTTGGTAACCTGTAGGGGAAAAAAACCCCAACAAGAACTGGCTAATCACGCCAAATACATCGAATTTTATCAAAACCACCTAAATCAGCTAAATACAAAAAGAAAATACCATAAGGGGAAGGAAAAAAAATACATAAGTCCTCTTGCTCCGGATTCGAAAATTAGACAGCCAGTCCGCACAGCAGTTTCCTTCTCTATACGTGTGATATATAACCACAGACCACTCTCTATTCAACGATGCCCGTATACGAGTAACAAGATGAGACTCACAGGCTGGCTCACTCCTTGCAGTAAGTCACTGCTGTTAAAGAGTCACTTTCTATTACTAATTTTCTCCAACCATTATCCCAAGTCATCTGAACACCTTTTAAAATACCCCATAATTCTGCCATAATAGCACTACAATGACCAATTCGATAGGAGAAACCAGTTAGCCATTGGCCAGTATTATCTCTAAAAATACTCCCACACGCAGTCAGACCTGGGTTACCTTTTGCTGCTCCATCAGTATTCAATTTACATATGAAATTTTCTATTAAAAGAAAAGGGAGAAGTAGAAATCGAATTTTTCTTCAAAGATTTTGATATTTGAACTGTGTTGTTATTGATTTTGAGTAAGAAAAAAAAATTAGAATAAAAAATAAAAATAAAAAATAAAACAAAGATACCAACACCATGCTTTTAACTTGAAGATTTTCGATCCCTACATTCCTGATCCGTCCTGCACTCCAGATTAGTCTGATAACCGTTTCAAATGGTCGAAATTTGTGAGAATGCTGAAGTGAACTTATTTGGCTCAAAGAGATAATTAGAATATATTTCACAAAACAAAAACAAAAAAAAGATATGATTGAACGGAGTAGTTGAAATTATTAAAGGCCTATGCACTAAAGTCTAAAAGGTTGGTTGCATAATGAGAGAAAACAAATTTTCAACAAATGACAAAGGTGATATTTTGAACAATTGTTAGATTTTGACAGAGGTGATATAAACTGGTGGGATATACATATTTCAGAAGGGGGAGATATTTGAAGATATAAAAACGACAAGTGTTGAAAAAAAAGGCATCACAACAAGGAACAAATCTCTGGTACAATGAAAATAGGTACATCTTTAATACAAAGGGAAAAAATAGGGATATGAAAAAATATTTTCCACAAGAAGGAAAGAGTCAGAAGATAATATTATCAACATGGACAGGAAATGAAAAAAAAAAAAAAAAAAACGATAAATGAAAATGGGAGCCATGTGATCTTGGCAACAAACCAAGTAGAGTTGATAAATTTAGATGAAGGGGAAGCAAGAAGGAAATAAGAAGAGCCGGAAATAAAAAGAGGGGTGAAACTTATGAAGGAAAAATGGTTAGGTGAAGTCTAGCAGGGGGTGGCATAAACGTAGGGTAGAAAAAGATATAAGCGGAGAAAGTTAACATTTAGTATGCTTGATGGATCAATCTCAATGTTGCTGAATCATCATATATCTTTTACAAGTGGTGAGCTTCATATCCCATATCATTATATATTTCTAAGTCATTTTGAGCCTTGAACCGTTATCTTATCTATTTGGTAAATATCCGATAGTGTCACTTTGTGAGAGTTGAATTGTTTGAGAGTTTCATGCTCTACTTTACCACGCTGCAATTTGTAGACATGTAAAAGGGTGTGTTTTGGAGTCATTATTAATAGGGAAATGGAATCAAGGTGAAAGTTTTATTTACGAGGCATTTGGTAGAAGAGAAAAAAATGTTAATTAGATAAATATAATTAATGGGAAAGCAGTGGGAAAGTAAATTTAGTGAAAAAAACTTTAAACAAGTTGTTTGATAGACTGAAATATTATCAGAAAAATTTATTTAAGTTTACTAAGTCTGTGTTTGGTTGAAATTAAAATATTGATGGAAAAATTATTGAAAATTCAAAAATACCCTTTTTAGATTTCATCTCTTTTGTTTTGTCTCCTAAAACAATACTTCTCCTGTGATTTTAGGTACTTATCATTCTAGGATATATACGTGTAAAAACTATAGTGTTGGCAAATGACACAGTGGTGGCAAAAATGTAAAAACTATAAGTGTAAAACTATACTGTTGGCAAATGTCACAAAGATTCATAGATAATTTTACAAAATACTATCTTTCAGAAAAGGGGCATTTCTGTCTGACCATCGTGCGCATTTTTCCAGTTGCCTTATTATCTTCAAATACCACCTCCAAGGTGGTTTTTTCAAACAATGACTTTTGCATCACTTTACACACAAATTTGAATTGGATGGAGAAAATGGTTGCCTAGCATTTTTTTTCCTAAACTTCTTTCAAACAATGACTTTTGCATCACTTTACACACAAATTTGAATTGGATGGGGAAAATGGTTGCCTAGCATTTTTTTTTGTAAACTTCTACCAAATATGGTGTAATTAAATACTCACTCTCATTTACCCATCAATCTCACAACAAACCATCTACCAAACACCCCAATTATATATGTCTTTTTTCTAGTTTGAGTTTAAAAAAGTGGGAAGAATTTTTATTAAACCTTCAAATACTCTTTTCATTCTTAAAATTAGACTTCCCCCAATATGGGGGATTTGAGGAAAAAATTTTACTCCCAAACATACAGAACTGAATACCCTTCATATTTCTTCACACGCATATATATATATATATATATATATATATATATATATATATATGAATCATTAAGTCTCAAAAATTATATAAATTACATATATAAAAGTGAAATAGATCATTTTAGAGAGAGAAAATAATTTTGTAGAGAGAGAATATTTTTTAAATATAAAATTACATAAATAATTTTTTCAGAAATTTTAAATTCAATTTTATTTGTAAAGTATAATAATTATGTTAATTTTTAAAGAAGGGATAAAATGATAAAAATATCTCATTAACCATCTTTTTTTTTTCCTTATCATTTTTTTAACTCTCAAACAAGAGAAGAGAATACCATTTATTTCTCTTATATTCCTTCCTCTCCTTTTTCTCTTGTATTCTCTTCCTTCCCTTGCTCTCCAAACTTCCAAACAAACATGGGTGGTGATCCTCTCTCTTGAACCAAAAAATAAATAAAAATAAAAATAATTAAATGTTATAATTTTATTTAATTTATACGTATTTCATTAATGATATACAAAAATCACTACTTGCAAACTCACTTCCATAAAAATCGAGTTTAGAAAATTGAGTTTAACTAAAACAAGTTTGCAAAATCTAATCTAAACACACATATATCAGCATGATCAGGGTATAAAGAATTTACGATTGTGAAATCTCATTGAATAAACAGAGCATGAAGCGCAAAAGGACTAAAGGAGTTAAGTTTTAATCAGATTAGAAGTTTAATCAGATTACAGATTAGATTAGAAGTTTAATCAGATTAGAAGTAAAGTTATATTATATTTTAATATATTATTTAGTTTAATTAATAATTATTATTTGTACTAATAAACATTACTTTCTGTGAAATTAGATATATATTGTTTGTGTTAATTAATATATATAATTTGTGTTCGATTCCATTATTTGTTTCAGACGATGTTTATTATATGTGGTTTACATGATTACATCTGTTATTTGTGTAAATAAATATGCTGTAAATTTAATTAAAATTACATTGGTATTTGTGTAACATCTTCCTAAATTTTAAGTTAGAAGCTACTAGTTAAGAATTTAATTAATAATTTGTGTAACATCTTCCTAAATTTTAAGTTAGAAGCTACTAGTTAAGAATTTAATTAATAATGATAATATTACTTATTATTAATATTATTTACATTTACATATTAACTTAAACTTTATTTCTTTGAAAATCATTAAAAACTTTAATTCATATTCTTTGAAAGAATAGCACAATTTTTTTATTTTTTTATTTTAATTTTGAATTTAACTTCTAATTAATTATTCCCTCTCTCAACATTACGATAGATCGTTCAGGCATAGAAGAGTAAGAAACTTGAGCTTCGAGCCACCGGAAGAAGAATCGAATCGAATCGAATCACGTTCTCATCTTGACGGCATTTGAGGTAACAAGCTAATCCCATGAACTCTCTCGTTGTACCTATTTCGTACTCTCTCCGAAAATTTCATGGTTGCAATGGTTGGGAAATTTTGGGGTTTCATGAGCACTGCCACGAGTAGGAAATTTGGAAATAAGGACGAGAAATATGCATGATTTTCTGGTCTTGAGAACCATTGAATAGTAGATGTACCAAGGTTGATGGGTTTTTGGAGCAAAAATAGAGAATCTTCATTATGCACTCTACTTGTTTGATAACTTGCATGCATGAGAGGAATGGAAGAAAATTTCGAAGATCCTCTTAAAGTTTTTTGTTGGGTTATGTAGACACCTGAACTTTGGGTTGGGGATTAAAGTGGGGGAAAAAAAATCAAGTTTTTATTCCTTGCATTCCATCTGCTTGAGGATGTGCATGTATGATGGGAGTAAGTTCTGAAAATTGTTCTAGCTAATTGTTGGTATTTTTCTTATGTTGGGGGTGACTTTTCTCTGGTCTGAATTCGTGAGTTTTGGGTGGAAAAGGGTCTTTAACAATGAGGAAACTCTTATAGTACATGATGATTACTAATGGAAACAGTTAAACTAGCTTTGTTTTACTTGTTCTGGACGGGTACTGTTAATGGTAGTTTAAGATCTTGGAACTTTTTTTCATAATATGAGTCACGGCTGATAGTTATTTGAATGGAGGGAAAAAGGACTGGGGTTTTATTATTCTTACGATGTGTTGTGGACCACTTATGTGGTACCCACTTTCTATCCCCACTACATGGAGCATCTCATTCCACCATTCTCTCCTAATTTCCATCTACTAGCAATAACCACCCACTAGCATTGCATCATGCCATTAAGTTACCTGCAAACTTCCCACTAGGGGCACAATCTCCTAGTGCATTCATCTATATATAACCCCTTATAGCTAACAAGGAGAAGCAGATAACTCCTCTAGGAACTCATCTGATAACTTATCCTGGCCACCATGGCTACAACCTACATACTTGTGCCCAGAGCACATCCTCTCCACCGCAGGTGACTCACACACACTCCCCTTGTTCATCTCATCGGACTTTGGCCTAAGGTGCAGGATTTCTCATTGCCTGTTATCTTTACCATAAGCTCCGTAGATACAAATACTAGCTATCCTGCTAGACCATTAATGTTCATTCCAGAACATTTGGCGCCGTCTGTGGGAAATCGGTAAATTTCGATTCCCGCTCTATTACCATTTGAGAAGAAAAAAGACGCCTCATCAACGTACCCGCACTTGACGAACAACGCTGCCAGTCGATCAAACCATCATAAAAGCCAAATGGATTCAGGAAGGAGAAAAACATTTGATCTTTACCTCAATCGCCGCTATGATCAGGGTGCTGACGTCTAAGGATTATAAAAGCTAAGCCTCCTTTATTTTATTTATTTTTTATTTATTTTTATTTGGTTGTCAATCCACTGTTAAAAACATCATGTTAGTTGCAGAGTTTAACATATTACACAGATGACATAGAGGAATCTTTCAATAGATTTTTCAGAGTTGTTTTAAATTATTTATTTTTTCTTGATTGAAGAACTTTATTTAAGAAAACGTGTCTTTGGAGGTTTCTGTACCTATTTGGTTTTTTGCAAATAATTTTTCTCAACAAATTAGAAGAGATAGGCGGCGTGCAGGGGTATAATGAAAATATTTACTTTATTAAATTATAGAATGGAGTGCTAATCTTCATGATTTTGAATTTTAAATGTGAATAAAAGTCGACTTAAATTTTGTAAAGTGTGTAAAAAACAAATTTAAAAAGCTCATTAAAAGTAACGTGCATTAAGAATTCAAGTTAGTATGATTTTTATTTTATTCTTTGTGAAAATTTAGTCAAATATTTCAACAAAAAATAAATAAATATTAAGTTCCGTTTGAATTATAAAATTTTAAGTAATTCAAATTTTAATTTATATATGTAAAGATATATAAATAATTTGATTTCTATTGATGGCTGTTAGTGGTGAAGTAAATGGAAGATGCCAGGCTCTAACCACAATGGATGGTAGTCGATATCGATAGACTCATGGGATGGTCAGAGAAAGTATGGATGGAAACTTGGAATATCAAACCATTACACAACATTATCATATAACCACAGGTTAAAAAGTGCTGGTGAGCAACCCGCGCATAATCAGGTTTTTCAGGGGGGAAACATATCTTCAGGTTTTTCAGGCGGGAAACATATCTACCAGCATCATAAATCACGGATGAAACAATCATAATCCGGCTACAAATAAAAGTCCCTTGCCGCCTTAATTGGCCTCTTGGGCAGCCGTTCAATTCCTACTCGGAAACGGAAAAACAAAGTCCCTTGCCGCCTTAATTGGCCTCTTGGGCAGCCGTTCAATTCCTACTCGGAAACGGGAAAACAAAGTCCCTTGCCGCCTTAATTGGCCTCTTGGGCACCCGTTCAATTCCTACTAGGAAGCGGGAAGATAAAGTCCCTTGCCGCCTTAAATGGCCTTTTGGGCACCCGTTCAATTCCTACTCGGAAGCGGGAAGATAAAGTCCCTTGCCGCCTTAAATGGCCTCTTGGGCACCCGTTCAATTCCTACTCGGAAGCGGGAAGATAGAGTCCATTGCCGCCTTTAATGGCCTCTTGGGCACCCATTCAATTCCTACTCGGAAGCGAGAAACAAAAGTCCCTTGCCGCCAAAAGAAGACCGGCCCTCCGGGATAAAAATGGTTTAATAAAAGAAGACCAGCCCTCCGGGATAAAAATGGTTTATTAAAAGAAGACCGATCCTCCGGGATAGAAATGGTTTACTAAAAGACCTTTGGGCACCCTTCTTTTTCCTAATTGGAAGCGGGAAAGTTATTGAACATTTGATTCTGAAAGATCCTAATCAGTGTACAAGACATGATCATATAGGGTTCTCACACTTTACTCAGCTTCAAACTCGGAAGCAATTACAAACTCGGAAGCAATTACAAACCCGGAGACGACTACAACCAACGAGCAACACGATAAAGTAACTTGGAACTCGGAAGCATTCGCAAGCTGGGTTTTCCCGGCATTCATATCCTTTTTCACAACACTAAACATTATTTGATAGGCACGGGGGCTTTACTTTTACCCCGGCATTCCGACTATGCGCAATGCCAGGCTGGGGGGCTTATGTTGTGGACCACTTATGTGGTACCCACTTTCTATCCCCACTACATGGAGCATCTCATTCCACCATTCTCTCCTAACTTCCATCTACTAGCAATAACCACCCACTAGCATTGCATCATGCCATTAAGTCACCTGCAAACTATCCACTAGGGGCACAATCTCCTAGTGCATTCATCTATATATAACCCCTTATAGCTAACAAGGAGAAGCAGATAACTCCTCTAGGAACTCATCTGATAACTTATCCTGGCCACCATGGCTACAACCTACATACTTGTGCCCAGAGCACATCCTCTCCACCGCAGATGACTCACACACACACCCCTTGTTCATCCCATCGGACTTTGGCCTAAGGTGCAGGATTTCTCATTGCCTGTTATCTTTACCATAAACTCCGTAGATACAAATACTAGCTATCCTGCTAGACCATTAATGTTCATTCCAGAACAGTTGGATTGGATCTCTGCATGTATGCATTATGATCACTGAAAATTTGCTTGTAAAGATTAATTTGAATTATTTGGGGTTCTTAGTTGGTTTCAGTTTGGTGCAAAAAAGGAGGGGACTAAATCTTGTACTAATCACTTGCTCGACAGTTAGCTTATAAAGAAATGAAAAGTCTCACGCTTGTATTCCATTAAGTCTTTTTTTTTTTTGGGTACACTATTCCATTAAGGTCTTCAAATAGATGGTGTTGGAAGAAGTTATACAAGTCTCTTGTTGCAGTTAAACACGTTACAAATCAGTTATTCCATCATTTTGGAAGAGTCAAGATTTCATACATGTTGGAAGAGGAAAAGTTGTACTTGAATGGCAACTGTGATTTCTTAACTCTAGATGAGAAATTAATAAACATGCCAAGTTTGAAATTAACCCCATTCTTTATTAACTAATAGTGGTGACGCAACTCTTAAGGCATATCCGTAAAGTAATGAGCATTATTCTTACATATAATTTAACCATGCTTGAATGAAATAGCTTGAACTCTAAGAGGTTGGGACCTCTTTAAGGCGAACCTGAATTGTTCCTCCATATTCATGTGTTCTGGCATTAGTCCATCAGCTAGCTTCCATTCAAAGTTGTGCACAAGGGATGCCACCATGAAATGCACTATCCTGTGAGCTAATGGCAATCCTGGGCATATCCTTTTACCTGTTCCAAAGGGTAAAAGCTCAAAATAATTACCCTTAAAATCAATCTCACACTCCAAAAATCTTTCAGGCATGAACACATTTGGATTTTCCCATATGCTAGGATCTTGTCCCATGGCCCACACATTTACTAGGACTTGTGCATTTTTAGGTACTTTGAAACCACACATGTCTACAATTTCATCACACTTGTGGGGTACTAACAATGGAGCTGGTGGATGCAAGCGAAGAGTTTCCTTCACCACTGCTTGTAAGTAAGGAAAGTTTAGGATGTGTGATTCTTCAATTGTTACATCTTTTCCAATAACTTGACTTAACTCTTTTCTTGCTTTTGCTAATTTATCTGGGTTCCGAAGTAGCTCTGCCACAGTCCATTCCACCGTGATTGCTGTTGTGTCAATCCCAGCAACAAATAAATCCTAGGAGAACATCATATCAAAACCCAATGAAATATACATATAGTGTTGGGGAAGATTATAGTACTTCTCTTTTTTTTTTTACCACATCTTACAACCAATCTTGTTATATTTGAATCAAAATCAAATCAACGGTTATAAAATGACATCAAGTGAAAGCCATTGATTTGATTTTGATCCAACGATAACAAGATTGGCTATAAGAGGTGGTAAGAAAAAAAAGTAGTAAGTATAACTTATCCCTACAGTATTAGCCTAAGGTGATTAGTGATTAAGTGTGTGCTTTTTGTGATGGGATAAAGATTAGGTACAAATGGGATAAAGGTTTAATGAATGGGATCACTCACTGATTTTTGCGAGTTGAACTAAAGTTAAATTGATGACTAAAGTACCAAATAATATTGAGTAAATACTTAATTTGATCTTCCAAAAGATACATGGATATTTTAGACATTAATTTGGCAACTCAACATTTAAAGCAAGTATAAACTTGGGGACTAAAATCAATGTTCAAACATATATTAACTATTATTAAGTACTTGAACCATATATATAAACTTCGAACACTTACTAATTATAAATATGATACCCAAATAACCTAAGGTTTTGAATAGTTAGAAATCTAAGTACACAATAATTTATTAAATTTAATTATTGGAAAACTTAAGTACTAACCATAAACAGATGTAACATCTCATGGCGGCTCAAGTGAGAACTGGTTTCTTCAATAATGTTAAGAAGTGAATCTAACACATCATTGAACACCTTAGAATCACCTTTTGAAACTCTTGAATGCATTCTTTCTTCAATTATTCCATCAATAATCTCAAACAACTTCTTAAAACAACTAGTCATCCTGGCATGAGCACGTTGTGGATCAAATGGACGAAGAATGGGAAAGAAGTCTGCAAAATTAGCCCTTCCAGCTTCTTCCACGGCACCCCAGATAATGTTCTTGAACTCTTTGAGACTTATCAGATGTAAAATGACACAAATCCATAGAGAAGAAAGTGTTTGAAATTGAATTAAGGACTGTTGTAAAGACAACCTCACCAATATCAAGAACTTCACCTTCTTTGCATTTTTCCTTCACATAATCCAACAATTCTTGCACCTTTTGTTGGCGAATGATTTGTGTGGAGTCAAGCATGTTAGTGGAGAATACTTTTGTAGCACAAATTCTCCTGAGGTTCCTCCACTGAGCTGATGGAGGCAGCCACACAATTGAGTATTTGTGATGGTCATGTGTTTGAACTGTGTGTGGGATTGTCCTATTAGAAAGGACTTGGCCATTTTGATGCAGCACTTGTTTTGCTACTTGTGGAGATGAGATAACTATGGTGGTTATGTTGCCTAGTTTTAGAGTCATTATAGGACCATAAATTTTGGAGAGTTTGGTGAGTGCCTTATGAGGGTCTTTGCCAAGCTGCAAGATGTTTCCTATGATAGGAAATGGGTTTGGCCCAGGTGGGAGCTTTATACATTTTGGTGTTTGGTTGGATAATCTAAGAATGAAGATGAGAATGCTTCCACACACAAAGGTAATCAGTAACAGAAGGAGATTTTGGATGTCCATGGTTTATGGTTTTGCCTTTTCCCTTTGGTTATATATATATACTTCAACTTTTTTGATATGAGAAATAACAGTGTATAAAATTACAATATACAAACTTATCAAGAGAATTTTTTCCATATCTAAATGAGTGGCAGAGAAGTGACTTGAAATTATCTATTAGAAAGTATCTATCTATTTATATATAATATAAACTCTTTCCATTACTATTGTGACTTGAAATTATTTTAATTTTTGACTTTTTATCTTTTCCAATCTTTTGAAAAAAAAATTAACAAAGCTATCAAAATGAATCATTTTTTTTTTGGTAATTATATCAATTTTTAATTAACTTAAAGTATACTTTATAAGTTACTAGGATTAGTCTAGTATTGAAGGTTTTGAGTAGTCTACATAAAATCATAAGTTTGAAATCTTAATAGGGAAAATTTCAAAAAATCCCTTACAAGTTTTCTCAAAATTACTTAACCCCCTTCCCGAAATTTTTAATCATTTACCCTCCTACTTAATTTTTTTTTTATCACTTGCCCCTCTAATTTGATTTTTCATCCAAAATTTTGTTAATAGAGTTAATTTTTTTAAAAAATACCAAAATTACCCTTAATAGTAAAAAGAAAAACATAATTTCTTCACCAACACAATTTCAGACGAACTCACTGAATGTTTTCTTTAAGGTAGCCTTGTTAGAATTAGTAATAATTAAAATTATTTCCTACAAATTCAATTGCTATTAAACACCGTACTCACAATTGTTGGTGTCGTTGTTCAAATAAAGTGATTAAAAATTTCGGAGAGAGGTTAAGTGATTTGGAGAAAACTTATAGGAGTTTTTTTTGAAGTTTTACCTTAAAACTATTACTTTTAAGCGATGACAAGTTTTTTTCGTTTTGATAATATTTGATATTGTGAATGATTTACATTTTAGGGAGTTATTAGTGGACGATTCTATTGAGTATCATGTTGGTTTCTTTGCAATTAACTCGTTGATATTTTTAGCCCATGTATAATGAATTAAAAGAATTTGGCACACTGGTTTTATTAAGTTTTTAATTTTATACGTGAAATACGATTTTGGAAGTTGTATTTGTGGGTTCCTGGAATTCGAACATAAATCTAGATTCAGATTGAGAATTTGCCTAAAGTCAGATTTGTTGATCATATAATAGCAGAAAAGCTTATAACAAAAAAGGGGAAGATCTAAACCTGCTGAGATAATGTCTCTTTAGTCATTTTATTTGAACAACGACACCAACAATTGTGAATACGGTGTTTAATAGTAATGGAATTTGTAGGAAATAATTTTAATAATTAATAATTCTAACAAGGCTACCTTAAAGAAAACATTCCGTGAGTTCGTCTAAAATTGTGTTGGTGAAGAAATTATGTTTTTCTTTTTTCTATTAAGGGTAATTTTGGTATTTTAAAAAAAATTAACTTTGCTAACAAAATTTTGGATGAAAAATCAAATTAGGGGGTAAGTGATAAAAAAATTTAAGTAAAGGGGTAAATGATTAAAATTTTCGGGGAGGGGGTTAAGTGATTTTGAGAAAACTTGTAGGGGTGTTTTTAAAGTTTTCCCATCTTAATATCACTATTGTATTTGTCAACACCCTATTTTTACCTGACACGTTTTAATTTTAAATTTTTGTCTTTATTTAATGTGAAAATCAACAGTTTATTAATATCTAGTTTTTAGTCTCTTTAATTATTTTTGGTTTTAAGCGTAAATTAAAAAAAAAATATAAATAAATGTAAAATACTTGCTTTCATTTATTTTTATTTTTTTTACATGAAAATTAAAGAAAAAAAATATAAAATGAAAGGAGAGAGGCAATTATAAATACTCTAATTTGCGCGGATTTATTTTCATTTTATTATTTTCAATAAAAATAAAAGTATACATATGAAATTTTCTAATAAAAAAAAACGAGAAGTAGAACTCGAATTTTTCTTCAAAGATTTTGATATTTGAACTGTGTTGTTATTGACTTTGAGTAAGAAAAAAAATTAGAATAAAAAATAAAACAAAGATACTACCACTATGCTTTTATGTTGAAGATTTTTTATTCCCATGTTCTTAACTCGTCGTGCACTTCATGTTAGTCTCGTCGCCGGTCCAAATGGTCGAAACTTGTGAGAAGCTTATTTGCCACACCAAGATAATTAGGGTACGTTTCAAAAAAAAAAGATATGATTGAATGGAGTAGTTAAAATTATTTTAGGCCCATGCACTAAAGTCTAAAAAAGGTTGGTTGCATAATGGGAGAAGACAAATTTTCAACAAATGACAAAGGTGATATTTTGAACAATTGTTAGATTTTGAACAAATGACAGAGGTGATATATAAACAGGTGGGACATACATATTTCAGAAGGGGGAGATATTTGAAGATATAAAAACGTCAAGTGTTGAAAAAAAAGGCATCACAACAAGGACCAAATCTCTGGTACAACGAAAATAGGTACATCAAGGAAAAAATGGGGATATAAAAAAATATTTTCCACAAGAAGGAAAAAGTCAGAAGATAATATTATCAACATGGGCAGGAAATGAAAGAAAAAAAAAACGATAAATGAAAATGGGAGCCATGTGATCTTGGCAGCAAACCAAACAGAGTTGATAAATTTAGATGAAGGGCAAGAAGGAAATAAGAAGAGCCGGAAATAAAAAGAGGGGTGAAACTTATGAAGGAAAAAAGGATATATAGAAAAAGAAAAAAAAGATACGTGAAGTCTAGCAGGGGGTGGCATAAACGTGGGTAGAAAAAGAGATAAGCGGAGAAAGTTGAACATTTAGTATGCTTGATGGATCAATCTCAATGTTGTTGAATCATCATATATTAAAAAAAAAAAAAAGTAAATACCATTTTTAGTCCCTAACAAAAAACATGGTCTCCACTTTAGTCCCTTACAAAAATAAATTAGTCAGTTAGTTGAAATCGTGGTCCCTCACAAATTCAAAAAAGACCCATATTAGTCCCTCAAAAGGACTAAAATGGGTCCACCTTGAAATTGTTAAGGACTAACTGACTTATTTTTGTAAAGGACTAAAGTAGGGACCGTGTTTTTTGTTAGGGATCAAAAATGGTCTTTACTCAAAAAAAAAATGAAATCATTCACTTTTAGTATTTTTTTAATCTTTTACAAGTGGTATGCTTGGTATCTCATATTATTATGGAAAAAATGTTTGTTATTTTAAATGACATAATTTGTGTCATTTTACTATCACAAAGAGGCGAGACTCACACTTTTATTTATTTTTTATCTACTCTTTTTCTCGCTTTTTCTATTTCTTTCTTTCACTTAAAATGACACAACTTTACTTTCTTTAAAATAATATATATTTTTCCTATTATTATATATTTCTAAGTCATCTTTGAGCCTTGAACCATAATCTGAACTATTTGGTAAATATCCGATAGTGTCACTTTGTGAGAGTTGAATTGTTTGAGAGTTTCATGCTCTACTTCACCACGCTGCAATTTGTAGACATGTAGGGTGTGTTTTGGAGTCATTATTAATATTAATAGGGAAAGAAAATCAAAGGGAAACTTTTATTTATGTCTTATAGTTTGTGAGTTTAAAAAAAGTGGGAAGAATTTTCGTAAAGTTCTCAGATACTTTTCTCATCCTTAAAATTAAATTTCTTCCAATTTAGGATATTTGAGGGAAATTTTTTACTCCCAAACAAAGAGAAATGAATACCCTTTGGGCGTGTTTGGTTCAGGAGTTTTCAAAAAATTTCCAGCTAAGTGCATGTGGCATTCTCTATTCTCCCCGTTTGGTAGAAGGATGTCATGACTTTTACCCATGAAACATAGTTGCCTATCTAATTACAAATGCATGTAAAAAAGGTCCAATTACACTGTTAATGAATGCAACTTTCAACATGGTATTTCTTTGAAAATGGGAGAAATGGAAAAAGTGGATGAAAATCAAGACAAGAATACCCCTAGTAATATATATGTTGTAACATTCAAAATTTTATAAAAATGTTACTTTCGTAATTTCCATTCATTTTTTCATCAAATTTTTATTTTTAACCAAACATACAGTCAGCATATTTAACCCAATTTTCGTAGTAATATTTTGTGGTACCAAACAACTTTTTTTAAACTTTCTTACAAAACTTACTTTCCTACGCTTTTCCTCGTAATTATATTTTTCTAGTAAAAAAAAATTCTCCTGAACCAAACACCCCCTTTATATTCCTTCTTTTTCTTCTCCTTCCTCTCTCGTGGATCCCCTTCCTTCACATACAAACTCTTAAACACACCCTTAGGAAACTCTAATTCACTTTGGGTGTGTTGGGGAGTTTGAAAAAAA